TTCTAGGACGGAGTATAAAAAATTGGCCCATTCCTAGAACAGGGTATCAGTTTTAGGGCGAATTCTAGAACGGGGTATAAAAAATTGGCCCATTTCTAAGAACGGGGTATCAATTTTAGAGGAAATTTTTTTTTTTTTAGAACCGGGTGCCAATTTGGAGTCCCGGGCGGCACATACCCACCCAAAAAATACCCAAGTGCCCCCCGCCCCCGCTTAATTTGCACATACGATTTGCCAGCTGGTGTTGTAGTTTCACTGCACACAGCGTAAAACTACATCAATGCAACTCCCATGGGGGGCACTCAGGATTTCAAGTTCCGATTCAAGTGATGAGGGCTGGTCGTATCGGATATTTCTGATTACAAGAGAATGCGTGACAAATACAATGATCCTAATAACTTCAATATCAAAATAGAATCTACAAACCACTGTTATTACTGTTATTTCTTTTCGGCAAATACCGGGTTATGGCATAGATTCGCGATTCGGAATTCGCGTTTACGTTAAAAGAGAACAAAGAAAAATGCTTTTTAGTTTTTAGAGACATCGTGATTGCGGTGAAAATAAGTGAGAGTGAATCGTGAATAAAACTAGTTACATCCAACTACTGTACTTCTGACTTGTGGACAACACTGTTATTGGGAGGCAAAACATTCCCCATAATCGAAGCATTTTTTTTTTCATCCCCGTCACTTAGAATCAATACAATATATATTCCCATACATCCATAACCTATCGCAGCGTTCAAGGACACCGCTGACTAGTTAATTGAGCAACGAAAACTCACCCTCCATCTACGCCCGTGGAAAATTGACACCCCAGATTCAACGGCTAGAAAAAAAAAATTCTTGATGACCAGAAAGCACCCTCCCCCCCCCTCAAGAGTTAAATGGTCGGCCCCTTATGTCAAGCTAATGAAGTTGAAAATCAGTGTCATGTTATGTTTTCTTGCACTCTGTATGACACGCTTCGCTTTTGTTCCTATTTAACAATATTGATCCATTTTTATGATTTGAAAATCAGTTGCTGCTTTTATTTTTGAGATTATGAATTGTAGACACTATCATATAATTTCCAAAGTGACTTAAACAATTAACTTATTTACTTTTTTAGAGAAATGGGGCAGAACGAATTGAATGATTTTGCTCCTTTTTGCTAATTCCTGGTATTTTGGAGTAATTCTCACAGGGGGCGTGGCGTTAAGAAGGTCATTTACGGTAATCAATGCATAATATTCAATATTGTACCTCCAAAAATCGTGAATGCTCCGGAAAACATCAACTATTCATGCTCACGACAAAATGTTTAGGTATTAAAAAAATGTAATCTTGACAAACCGTTCCAATTTTTGGCACTAACTCGCGGAATGAGGGATATTTCAAAAAATCGTTTATATTGTAAACGGAAATTAATAATCATACTCTTGAAATATTAAAAGACAAGATGGTAAACCGAGAAATAAAATCGCGAAATCCTAAACCTTAGCCTCCGCACCGAGAGTGCATCACCCAAATCTGTCTATCTTATTTTTGACGTTATTACGCATTTTCTTTCTTTTCTTTTCCTTTCTGATTTTTGTTTTCATTTGTAATATCAATTGAAACTTTTGACTTAATAAATTTGGCCCCCCTAGCCGGACAAGAAATTGCCAAGAAATTCAGTGTAAAATTATAAGTAAAACTACGGTTATTATCTGTAATATTTTTAATTTTCCCTGCTCGCAAGTCGCCTTGTTCAACTCGTACATTCCCTAAATCAAATATCTTATATTACCAATTGGACATTTTCGTTCCACAGTCTTTGCGCCGAAGTTGTGCATTCCGTATTCCACATTCCAAGCTTCGGAAGGAACGGAAACGGCTACCCCGAATTAAGCTAAGGACTTCCGGTTTAAGAAACGTTTTAATATTTGACCTTCTCAAGAGGCCTTCCAATCCCGTGATAAAGATACAGACAACTTCTTCTATTACAATGTTTGGTTCACTGTGGGTTATATCTTTGTCCATCTTCGATGCTTAGTTCGATTTGAATTGTGTTTGGAGTGTATATGTACTGAGCCAGGGCCATGGAAAACTGGAATCATTTGCCATATCTTGCCCCTATTCTTGCGGTGCTGTTTTTTGTGGCGTTAGGAATTCTCTGCTACTGCTACTACCGCAGCCACAAAAATGTTGACGATGAGCCCAAACATGGAAATCTTCAAGACACTCAGCTTATTGCTGTGGAAAAAAAGGAGAGATTGCACAGCGCCGTGAGTGACTACTTTGTTGTCAAGCATCCTATGTGATGTCCAGGGAAACTAGAGGACATTAACTGTTCAAATTCCATTTTGGATTCTTTAATAGATACCTAAGCAATCGTGGTACTTGTCTCGTGGAACTGGAAGATAATGGCTTGCTATTGTGGACATAACCTACATCATATCTTTGTGATCGTCCATGAATCTATCCATAGTTTGTCATATAACACTACCTGTTACAGATCTATTTTTAAAGGCTCTATCTGTTTATTGTTTACTCAGATACCTCCTGTCTACAATGAGGCTTGGTCAGCATTTCTATCCCGGGGGGGGGGGGGGTGCTTTCTTTTTAAGAGGTAATTGGGGGGGTCCCCGGGGAGGGGGCGGCTTTTTCCCGCTGAATTGGCTGTGATTGGGGCGGTTTTTTCATTGAGGTTCCAGGATGGGGTTGCCCAATTTTGGGATTTTT